GTCATATGTGAGGTGGAGGGGGCATTGTCCACGCAGTAGTAGTCGTTGTAGTTGCACTGTACAGCACATACGCAAATATGTGGGGTGATGTCCTCGTCACGCCCAAGACCCTGGTTCGACTACTTACCCAACAATATCACGTGAGTGAGAGAGTATAGTTTTACGCTGCCTTTAGCAATATTCCAGCAATATCTTCACACATTGTACCCATGTGGGGAATCGAACATTTCCCTGTTATGAAACAAAACAAGCGCAAATTGTAGTAGAAACATATGTTGCATTGAAAAAAACCCAATTATTGTTAAACAGTTTTGTAAAGTTAAAAGATGAACCACAATACACTTGGAGTTCTGCAGGCAAATTCATCACAGTTTGAGAGATCAACCAGTTATCGATCATAAGCACAGATTAGACTTCCAGTACCTGATGTGACCACCTCCAGCGTTCCAGCGTTTCAGGCCCGAACACGGTGTCGAACTGAGTAGACGAAATTCCTACCGCAGTGCAACTGCCAAGGCGTCCCTCGTCAATGGCGGCTGTTGATGTTTCCGAATATGGCCTCCCAATTGGTCCCAGGTGGTCGCAGTTAGTCCCAGAGGTGCTCTATTGGTGACATATCCGGTGATCGTGCGGGCCACGGTAGGACGTTCACGTTGTTGGTGTTGAGGAAGTCTCTCGCTACACGAGGTGTGTGAGGTGTGGCGTTGTCCTGTTGTATCATCGTCCGTGGGTATTGTTACAGGAAAAGCATCACCACAGGTCGTAAAACCTCGTCCATGTAGCGACGTGCTGTGATCATCCATGATGACCAGATCCGTATTTTGGTCCTGACAAATGCTGCCCCAGAGAATCACACTTCCACCTCCGTAGGGCTCAACTTCCTGCACCCTGCCGTCCGTTCACCACGTCGTCAGTAGATTCTCACACGGCCATCAAACTTGAAGAGCTGGAACCTGGTCTCGTCGCTGAAGATCACTCTTCGCCAGTTTCTCTGCTACAACTGGTGTAAAGTCCTTATCCACCTCAATCTGGCACGTCTTGTCAAGTTCTTGAGAGGTCGATAAGCACGAAGACCATGATGGCGGAGACGTCTGACCACGGTCTATCTGCTGACTGGATGTCCAAGGTTGTTTTCGGCTGATGAGGACACAGCGAGGAATCTGTACCTCAGGTGGAGAACCCGTAAATACCGGTCTTTCTGTGGGGGTTTCTTTGGGTCCGCCACTCCTTGGCCTGTCTGCAGTACTGCCAGTCGTAGACGTGTGTCAAATCTGGCGATGATGGACTTGCGACATCCCATGATCCTGGCAACGTGCTCCTGTGTCGCTCCCAACTGCAGCATACCGATGGCTCTCTTCCTCTGCAAAGCCGTTAATCGAGGCATGTTTGTTGCTTGTAACATGATGAGAGAGAACAAATTTTTTCATGTTTTATACCCGATTTTCATACGGCTGTTGGCTACCATTTGTATTTTGGTGGGGTTTCTTTTAGGCCGTTGGTTAACATGGATGTATTTGACACAGGGCACCAGCCTAATGCAGCATTGTGAACTGATATTACACAATTATCCGAGACGCACTTTGTTCCCATTACAGTTGTACAGACATATGTGGACCTGGATCTACAGGATCTAGGCCTTGTGATAAGATGAGGAATCGCTGTAAAGCCCTGTCGGAACAGAGCAGCATCAGGATTGTCAGTAGGGGAATGAACCTGGATCTACAGGATCTGGGCCTTGTGATAAGATGAGGAATCGCTGTAAAGCCCTGTCGGAACAGAGCAGCATCAGGATTGTCAGTAGGGGAATGGACCTGGATCTACAGGATCTGGGCCTTGTGATAAGATGAGGAATCGCTGTAGTTACTTTGAAAGATCAGTGTTGTGTCCTGAATCCCTCTGTCATTGACCTCCAAATTTCTGACCATTTCCTTGTTTCTTTCGAACTTGATACAGACAAACCTCCACTCCCAAAAAAGTTCATTCAGTGTCGGAATCTAAAACATTTAGATCGAGATGCGTTTAGACGTGATTTGTCAAATTCTGATCTCATACAGAATCCACCGTCCGATATTAGCAAACTCATTGACAAATATAACTGTGTCCTCATTGAACTCTTAGATAAATATGCCCCTCTTAGAACTAAGCGTGTAACAGATCGCCCTGTTACACCATCTTAAAATCCACAGGCAAATTTACTGTGTTGCGAGAAATAAAGTGACGTCTTTGATAAGGCAGGCCAAACAGATGTCACTGAACTCTCAAATCCAGGATTCAATGTCTGACACAAGATCACTGTACAGACTCATGTCCCGCCTTCTTGGTAAGGAGTTCACTTCACCACTGCCGAAAACAGACTCTCCCGAGGTGTTGCCTAACCGGTTCCAGCAATTCTTTACAGAGAAGATTGCCAAGATACGTGCTGGCATGATGTCTGCAGATTCTTCTGGCGAATGTGAGACCAGCACGGATACGCCCTCTACTGAACTAACTGATGATTGCTCGGAGAAACTGGTTACTTTCAATGAATTCACCTGTGATGAAGTGTTGAAAATTATCCGGAAGTCCAATCCTACTTCCTGTGACTTGGACCCTGTGCCGACATCCATCATCCTTGATAACATTGATCTTTTAATTCCGACTCTTACAAAAATCATCAACATTAGTCTTGAATATGGAATTATGCCGTCTTCCTTTAAGTCAGCTCTAGTGAAGCCACTCCTGAAAAGGCCAAACTTAGACTTTGATCTGCTTGGCAACTACCGGCCAGTATCTAATCTCAGTTATCTTTCCAAGTTAGTTGAGCGTGCTGTATGCACACGACTTTCTGAACATCTTGATAAACATGACCTTCATGATCATCTACAGTCCGCCTACCGTAGCCATCATAGCACCGAGACTGCATTGCTGAAAGTGATCAGTGACATTCGGCTTGGCATCGATAACAAGAATCTCGCAGTCTTGGCACTTCTTGACCTAAGCAGTGCATTTGACACCATCGATCATTGCAAACTCCTGGAACGTCTGAGGTTGGAATTTCTCATCGATGGAACAGCTTTAGAGTGGTTTAAATCATACCTGACCGATAGAAGTCAGTGTGTAATCATTGACAAGTTGTCATCTGACCCATCATATCTTACGTGTGGGGTTCCACAAGGATCCGTCTTAGGACCGGTTCTTTTCACCTTGTATATAAAGGAGCTTGGAAGTGTCGTGGAAAGACATGAAGCGGACAGACATCACTATGCTGATGACTCTCAAGTCTACAGATCCATGGAGTCAAGGCCACTTCAGGCGCACAGGGCTTTGAGTGAATTGAGCACTTGTTGTGAAGACATCAAGGCGTGGATGCATTACAACAAACTAAAACTGAATAGTGACAAGACGGAATGCATTGTCCTAGGGCCACAGAAAAGGAGATCACAGTGTGGTCTTACATGTTTTAGGTTTGATAATACAAACATCAAAATCGCTGACAAGGTCAAAGACCTTGGTGTGATTATCGACTCAGATGTGTCACTGGATGATCACGTTTCCCATCTAGTCCAGAGCTGCTTTGCTCAGTTGCGTACTATTGGACATATCCGACCATATCTCACCACCGAATCTGCCACCACTCTTGTCCTGTCTCTAGTTATGAGCAGGATTGATTACTGTAACTCCCTTCTCGCTGGTGCCACTAAGACACAGATAAGGAAACTTCAGCGTGTGCAAAACGCTGCTGCACGTATAGTGACCCAGTCACGTAAATCTGATGACGCTCTGAAACTCCTACATTCTTTACACTGGCTGCCCATTCACTATAGGATTCAATTCAAGCTTCTGTGCCTCACTTTCCGCTGTCTGTCTGGATCTGCCCCTTCGTATCTGGCCCAGTCCCTCACACAGCACCGCCCATGTCGCTCTCTCCGTTCACAGGATAAACGTTTCCTCGTTATCCCCACTGTTAGGACTTCTACGTATGGTGAAAGGTCCTTTTCGTATGCAGCCTCTACAGCCTGGAATCAACTACCTCAATATCTACGTGACTGTACAGAACTTTCTAATTTTAAATCTTTACTAAAGACGCACTTTTTCAGATTAGCTTATGAGTGTAAACGATAATTCATTGCATTGTTTCCATGTATCTCTCTAATCTTTTATTCTCTGCTATAGTCTGTTTGTATGTACTTCTATGTCTTGCGCTTTGAGCATGTTGTACATGGAAAACAGCGCATTACAAGCATGCTATTATTATTATATCCAGTGATCATCAGCATGAGCATCGATTGGGAACCGATGGCATGTGTCAACCAAGCCAGAGAGTCTGACCACCCGATCCCGTTAGTCGCCTCCTACGACAAGCATGGGTGACTGAAGGTTCATTCTAACCCGGACCTAACCATCACGGTTTTTTTATCTCGAGTGCCGACCCTTCAAGATCCTTGTTAAAACTGCAACTCTTGCCTACCGTAAGAGACAACTAACGGGATCAGGTGGTCAGTCTCGCTTACTTGCAAGGCACATGCCATACATGTCTGTAGTAATATGTCAAATAGCCTAAATATTGCTGAGCTCAGCGTTACACATCCTCATCAACAACAACCTCCGCCATAGAAGGTTTGTTGCTACTCTAGAATCAGTTGTATTTGTATATAGTAGTAACTTGCGAAATGCAATATATTTGTAAAAACCTTCCTACCCTGTCAGTTTGGGAAAAAAACATCAAGAGAAAAGAAAAGCCTGTTTATGGGGATCGATCTCTCGTAACCGTATATCTTATTTACAACAACGCAATCAACAGTTGCTTGAGTTATGTCCCTTTTTACTACTAAAACGCAGTCGACTTTATCAACCAGAGGCCTTGTCAGTAATGACAAAACTTGTTGGGCAGATGCATGTTATCGCCTTGTTTACTGAATAAACCTTCATTATGTTTTATCATCGATACAATGGTGGAAAAGAGAAGCAACAGAATATGACCCAATGACCTTGCTATTCAAGATAAGCCGAAATCAGGAATGAGTAGGTCAGCCATGTAGTGGCGAGGAAGACGGTTAAAGGAAGCCGGTATTGCACAATGAGGTGCAAAGGACTTGGTGATCTGTACGCCAACCCGGCACGGAACTAGCGGGGTCCGCCACACATCAACAGCCCCCCAACACAGCATGAGTGGTCAGGCAAGTATGATTGTCATACAGTAAAACTTCGATAGATCTGACCCCGGCAGTTCGGACACCATGCTTTACGTCTGTTGTGCCCATAAACCTACATGCGTCTTTTACGCTTCAAAGTGTTGTATTTACAATCGTAGCGGTGGGGTAGCCGAGTGGTTAAAGCGTTGGCTCGTTACGCGGAAGACCCGGGTTCTATTCCCCACATGGTACAATGTGTGAAGCCCATTTCTGGTGTCCCCCGCCGTGATGTTGCTGGAATATTGCTAAAAGCGGTGTAAAACCTAACTTAATCACTCATGGAGAACTAGACGTTGGTCAGTTGCCAGCCTATCGGTTTGGTGCAGGTAATGGGCTTACGATGGGTTTTTTACCAGGCATCTCGTGTGTTATAATACATTGGAAACTGGTAGAGAAAATGGATCGATAATGTGCCGGGTTGGACATTTTTCAAAACAAAAATCTCTCTAGGCTTGATATGTCCTGCACGACACGTATTATAACGTATCGTTTTAGACTCGATATGAACTGCACGACACGTATTATAACGTATCGTTCTAGACTGGACATGGACTGCACGACACGTAATATAACGTATCGTTCTAGACTGGATATGGACTGCATGACACGTATTATAACGTATCTTTCTAGACTGGCTATGGACTGCATGACACGTATTATAACGTATCGTTCTAGACTGGCTATGGACTGCATGACACGTATTATAACGTATCGTTCTAGACTGGCTATGGACTGCATGACACGTATCATAACGTATCGTTCTAGACTGGCTATGGACTGCACGACACGTAATATAACGTATCGTTCTAGACTGGCTATGGACTGCATGACACGTATTAAAACGTATCGTTCTAGACTGGCTATGGACTGCATGACACGTAATATAACGTATCGTTCTAGACTGGATATGGACTGCACGACACGTAATAAAACGTATCGTTCTGGACTGACTGGACTATGGACTGCAACGATCGTTCTAGACTAAAACGTGCATCACGTTCGTATAGACTGGCTATGGACTGCATGACACGTATTATAACGTATCGTTCTAGACTGGCTATGGACTGCATGACACGTATTATAACGTATCGTTCTAGACTGGCTATGGACTGCACGACACGTAATATAACGTATCGTTCTAGACTGGCTATGGACTGCATGACACGTATTATAACGTATCGTTCTAGACTGGCTATGGACTGCATGACACGTATCATAACGTATCGTTCTAGACTGGCTATGGACTGCATGACACGTATCATAAACGTATCGTTCTAGACTGGCTATGGACTGCACGACACGTAATATAACGTATCGTTCTAGACTGGCTATGGACTGCACGACACGTAATAAAACGTATCGTTCTAGACTGGCTATGGACTGCACGACACGTAATATAACGTATCGTTCTAGACTGGCTATGGACTGCACGACACGTAATAAAACGTATCGTTCTAGACTGGCTATGGACTGCATGACACGTATCATAACGTATCGTTCTAGACTGGCTATGGACTGCACGACACGTAATAAAACGTATCGTTCTAGACTGGCTATGGACTGCACGACACGTAATATAACATATCGTTCTAGACTGGCTATGGACTGCACGACACGTAATAAAACGTATCGTTCTAGACTGGCTATGGACTGCACGACACGTAATAAAACGTATCGTTCTAGACTGGATATGGACTGCACGACACGTAATATAACGTATCGTTCTAGACTGGTTATGGACACGACACGTAATAAAACGTATCGTTCTAGACTGGCTATGGACTGCACGACACGTAATAAAACGTATCGTTCTAGACTGGCTATGGACTGCACGACACGTAATATAACGTATCGTTCTAGACTGGCTATGGACTGCATGACACGTATTATAACGTATCGTTCTAGACTGGATATGGACTGCACGACACGTATTATAACGTATCGTTCTAGACTGGCTATGGACTGCATGACACGTATTATAACGTATCGTTCTAGACTGGCTATGGACTGCATGACACGTATTATAACGTATCGTTCTAGACTGGCTATGGACAGCATGACACGTATTATAACATATCGTTCTAGACTGGATATCGACTGCACGACACGTAATAAAACGTATCGTTCTAGACTGGCTATGGACTGCACGACACGTAATAAAACGTATCGTTCTAGACTGGCTATGGACTGCACGACACGTAATATAACGTATCGTTCTAGACTGGCTATGGACTGCATGACACGTATTATAACGTATCGTTCTAGACTGGATATGGACTGCATGACACGTATTATAACGTATCGTTCTAGACTGGCTATGGACTGCATGACACGTATTATAACGTATCGTTCTAGACTGGCTATGGACTGCATGACACGTATTATAACGTATCGTTCTAGACTGGCTATGGACAGCATGACACGTATTATAACATATCGTTCTAGACTGGATATCGACTGCATGACACGTAATATAACGTATCGTTCTAGACTGGCTATGGACTGCACGACACGTAATATAACGTATCGTTCTAGACTGGCTATGGACTGCATGACACGTATTATAACGTATCGTTCTAAACTGGATATGGACTGCACGACACGTATTATAACGTATCGTTCTAGACTGGCTATGGACAGCATGACACGTATTATAACATATCGTTCTAGACTGGATATGGACTGCATGACACGTAATATAACGTATCGTTCTAGACTGGCTATGGACTGCATGACACGTAATATAACGTATCGTTCTAGACTGGCTATGGACTGCATGACACGTATTATAACGTATCGTTCTAGACTGGCTATGGACTGCATGACACGTATTATAACGTATCGTTCTAGACTGGCTATGGACTGCATGACACGTATTATAACGTATCGTTCTAGACTGGCTATGGACTGCATGACACGTATTATAACGTATCGTTCTAGACTGGCTATGGACTGCATGACACGTATTATAACGTATCGTTCTAGACTGGATATGGACTGCATGACACGTATTATAACGTATCGTTCTAGACTGGCTATGGACTGCATGACACGTATTATAACGTATCGTTCTAGACTGGCTATGGACTGCATGACACGTATTATAACGTATCGTTCTAGACTGGATATGGACTGCATGACACGTATTATAACGTATCGTTCTAGACTGGATATGGACTGCATGACACGTATTATAACGTATCGTTCTAGACTGGCTATGGACTGCATGACACGTATTATAACGTATCGTTCTAGACTGGATATGGACTGCATGACACGTATTATAACGTATCGTTCTAGACTGGATATGGACTGCATGACACGTATTATAACGTATCGTTCTAGACTGGCTATGGACTGCACGACACGTAATATAACGTATCGTTCTAGACTGGCTATGGACTGCATGACACGTATTATAACGTATCGTTCTAGACTGGATATGGACTGCATGACACGTATTATAACGTATCGTTATGAGAGCCGCATGAGGGTTTTTGGTCAGACTTGAGATTTTAGCGCCGCTTTACTTTGTTTCATCTGTCTCAACATTTGTTCTCCAATCTTCACCCTAAAGTGGACCTTCGTGTTGAACGACGTGACAAACTGGCTGACTTTTTCGCCATGGACTGTTGATTTAACTCTGACTATAGGAAATTCTATTTTAACTAGTATATGTATAGAGACCCCATTGCCCATGTTGTTACTTTAACTTTTTCTTTTTAACTGATGTTGGTAACTCTGGGCGAGTGAGTGAGCTGGGTTTTAACGTGTTAGATGGCATGGCTAGAACTCGGAAGTGCTGCACACAAATAGATGTATACACTTTGCTGAAACCCACGAGCACGTTACTGATCGACATGTGAGACCTGCTCCCCTTCTGGTTATCCTCTCACATCAAGCTGACGTATCGCAACATAACCGGAATATCATTCATAGCGACGTTTAACCCAGCTCACTTACTCACTCACTTGGTGAAACACACTAGATAATTAGTCCAACTTAACTTCATGGTTTGTTTGTATAACATCCGTCAACGGTTATGCAACTACATCACATGTTTGGATGCAATACAATATAGTGTGACCTAACTGATGTGTTCAAACCTCAACAATATAATATTCCCGATCAATATCATATACAGCCCCGTCCGTCGCCTCTCCACCTCTCGTCTCTGCTCTCACGAATCTCCTTTGCCTGGGCCAATGGGTGAGTCATTATTCCGTCCTATATAACGAATCTTCGAAAACTCGAACTTTATTATCCGGTGTCCTCCCTACTTCACCTAATTTTTACCCATTAGGATTAACAATAAGTTGTCATCATGATTTATTGATGAACATTAACAATTAATTGTTAACATTCAGTGTACATAGTACAGTGTTGATACCCATAGTACAGTGTTGATACCCATAGTACAGTGTTGATACCCATAGTACAGTGTTGATACCCATAGTACAGTGTTGATACCCATAGTACAGTGTTGATACCCATAGTACAGTGTTGATACCCATAGTACAGTGTTGATACCCATAGTACAGTGTTGATACCCATAGTACATTGTTGATACTAAACCCCTTTAAATAGAAATATGATTTTTGTCTTAATTCCGTGTATTTATTGCATGTAAAGAAATAATGCACAGCATAGTACAGTGTTGATACCCATAGTACAGTGTTGATACCCATAGTACAGTGTTGATACCCGTACAGTGTTGATACCCATAGTACAGTGTTGATACCCATAGTACAGTGTTGATACCCATAGTACAGTGTTGATACCCATAGTACATTGTTGATACTAAACCCCTTTAAATAGAAATATGATTTTTGTCTTAATTCCGTGTATTTATTGCATGTAAAGAAATAATGCACAGCATTTTCGACTGGATGTCCACATGAGCACGAGGGGCTGTCGATGATGTCTATCAAACCTATCAGCATTCAAATCAAATCAGTTTAGATCAAAAATAATAGTTTTGTTATATTGTCTTAATATCGAGTTTTTGAATCGGGATAAAGTATCAATATTTTGAATTTCCGATCTTAGGGATTTCCACAGTTTTATTGTATCAGTGGGCTAACTTTCGTTTCAGAGAGTTTATGTGAATATCCCAGTAACAATTATTTTGAAGGGTCGAGGTGCTTATGATTATCTACGTCTTGGTTATCACACCGTTCATTGTAAGGTCGGGTTCAATGTTCTATTTAGTTTTCTACTGAACTGTATTGATTTTGTTTTGTTAGGATTGAATGAAACCTTCCATTCTTTGGCATCATGAAACTAATCAACTTTTAGCTGATCCCAAATTTCCTTGACACAAAACACTAAACAACAGCTTAATCCCTCCCTTGATCTCATCTGTATACTCTATGCACTAATCTCTCCTTGGGTCAGTCCATTATGCCAGACAGGTAAATGCCGTGTGTTGTTTTAACTAATTGTAGGGGTACTGGGGTGTAGGGGTAATGGCATGTAGGGGTTATGGGGTACAACCGTAATGACAATTAATTAGGTGATGTGGGTATGTCATGCCTGGTTGATTACTCAGGATTAGGTGAAGTGGGTGTGGGATAGTCCATATCTTGTGATCAGAGGGGGTTCAGCTACCATGTCGGAGTAAAAGAATGACAAAACGCAGTGATAGAATTAATGAATATATTTTATATATCTTATATATATTTTATATATTCAGTTGATAAATTAACTCGGCCGTGGTCCATCGCCGCCTCATACAAGTATCAGTGGTATAGAGACACAAAAAATCACACAGGATTTTGAGAACTCAGTTTAAAAACTATGTACATGGAACATTAAAGCTCTTTTTTCCTAAGTTGAATTATTTTGAGTTTATCAAATATGTCAGTAACTATGATTTGTTTTTCCTCTGCGAAACAATGGTCAGTTATTTCAAGTAATCAGAAACATGTCACGTGCATTTGAAACTATTGCTTTGCAAGTCAGGAAAGCGTGTTTCCCTATATTTAGTATATTCAGTAAATATTCTGATATGTCACTTACAACAGACACTAAATTGTTTGACACTAAAATATTAAGAGTAAGAAAAGTAAAGAAAGCGGTGACCGATCTCCCCTATTATGTGTTAAGTGTGACACTGTGGCTGTCGATGATGAATTTCATTTCATTTTGGGTTGTCCTTACTATAACAGTAGCAGAAATAAATTCATTCCAAAATATTTTCATCGCTATCCTTCCCGGGAAAAACTACAACTCGGGGCTCCAGATAATTTTTCAACATCAGGAGTACGTACTCCTTATGTTTTCAATATAGGAGTACTAGAAAAACTTAAGAGTACATTTAGAGTACTGAATAGAATTGAATGGCATATCAGTAATCTTGTGTTTCGTTTCATATATGCACCACAACATTGCTACTCTTGTGTAAACAGGTCAATAAACAATAAAATACTTGACATGTTGTTGGGCCACAGCAACTTTGAACCGGTAACTCGCCGTCAAACATTTAGTGTCCGACATATAAAAAGTAAAAATATATAACTTGGATTGCACTTATTAGAAAAGTAAGACTGTAGTGCTTTCATTAAGGTAGTGTTGTCCCTAACATCTAATAATATTCTGAAACGTTTTGCGTTTCGTTTAAATAACGTAAAATGACATGGTCAGTGCAGACATTTAAAAATGGGACCTTACGCTACCTATCCTCTGTTCACACTTCGGTTTGGAGGCGGCGCGGTAGCTTAGTGGTTAAAGCGTTCGCTCGTCACACCAATGATTCTGTTTCGATTCCCAACATGGGTATACGGGTACGTTCCCCGACCTAATATTGCTAAATGCGGCGTAAATTCCCTCACACTCGCTCACTTCGGTTGACACGCACACTTCACGTCGAACTGCAAACCACGATGGTCTAGTGTATCTGCTTTCTGACGAACACAAAATCGCCAAGACCTATTAATAAGGGCAATTGTATTTCCACATATACCAGACTTATCACAAAGGGAGAAAAGAAGGTGCTGCGTGAAGATGATGTCAGCGACGTCTCAGAAGAAGACCAGTGCAGCAGCATCGACAGCGTTGTGGAAACATCATGGTCAAAGGAGAAAAGGTAATAAAACAGTTGACTTACATTTTGTAAATATTTCTGAACAGTTTGTTACATTGTATATTTGCATGTACCTGTTCAAAGAAATAAATACCTTGTTTGCGGGTCTTTATAAGGAGAGTGAATAATGTTGTGAAAATTAATGATTGTCACCAGTAGGCGTCAAAAGAATTATTGCTACAGGAGCGTTTGTATTGGGTGAGGTGAGGTGAAATTGGGTTTAACGTCGTGCTTGAGAATATTTCGCTCATATGACGACGATGCATGCGTGTGTATTGGTAAGTGCGGCTGCTTGTACTAGCCCAGACTGAAGCTGGTTTCATAGTGCTAGCCCACTGAGATACCATGCTGCAGTGAAGCATGAATACCCACTCAGACACATTATATACTGACTCCGAGCCGACCAGTCCTTGTTGTACCCATTAATGCCGAGCGCCAGGCAGGGACCAACAAGTACCATATTTTAACGTCTTTTGGTATGACGCGGTCGGGGATCGAACTCCGCGATCTTCCGCTCTCCGGGCGGACGCTCTAACCACTACACCACTGGAGGCGGTCGTGTGTATTGGGAAATGATAGATCAAGGTTACTTGTAGTTTTATATACGACACAACAGTGTATATGGAAACGAACTCGGGCGGAAGAGTTTCCAATTTGTGTCATTCAGAGGTAGTTATTGGTATATACTCATGGAAACAAATAAAGGAACACATGAAAGTACTAGTGTTCCTTTATTTATTACCAGAATTTCGCCCACAGTGCAATACAAAGCTTGTAATAGTAATAGTCCGTTTATATGGCGCTCATATCCTGGCACATTGCCTGCTCACGGCGCTACGTACATAACTATCCCCGGCCATAGGACACTGTTGTACTTTCCGATACTTTTTCAACTCCCTGCCTGTTAAGCGCAATGAACTAAACACTCACATTACCAGCACATCCTCACGGGTACCCATTTTACAGCTGGGTGAACTGAGACAATGTGGATCTAAGTATCTTGTCCAAAGATACTACGCAAATGTGCCCATCTCGGGCCCCTGTACAAAGCTTGTGAAGAAACTCTGGAAAGAATAAAGGAACACTTGTTCTTTCATGTGTTCCCTTATACGTTTCCATGAGTATATTTTAAACGTATGGCAAATGAGAATCCTTCATTTTTCCCAATCTACTGATCAATGTACTCCGATCAGTAATATGTTAAGCCTTTGTTAATGTCAAAGTCTTCACCAATCGAACCAGTGCTTGGCATCATTAGCACCGTTCTGTTGATGTACAATGATACGCAATCAAACACGTCGCCTGCCGACCTAATTTCCATTGTAATGATGCTTTGGGGACTAATTCTGCAAGAAATGACTGTGAGGATGTGTGATTTGTCAGTTTACACAATGACCATGTTCTGGTAAAAAATGCAAAGTTTAAATTATGAACATCGTCAGTGTAAGCAGACACGATAGTAGGAACGAGAAGACTTCTACTTCACATGGCGGACTGTGTACAAGTGATGAGACGTCACAGACGTCCAGGTGACGTCTTATTTCTGGCAAAATACCACAAGGTGCAGCATCCTTTACCATGATTCCCAAACAGGACTCTGGGATTTCTCATAAACGAAGTGTCCCAACATGATTCTGTGTTAAGGATTAAGACTAAACATCCCTGGTCCTGGGTTCGATTCCGGATCCTTTAATGACCCTTGATCAGTCAGCACCATTCCTGCGTTCGCGATAGACGTATACTCCCTGAGCCGAGATATTACAGTATTTGTTTGGTGGGATATAATCAACATGTACAATGTTATCTATCGTCATTACTGTTATCCCTCCAGACACAGCCGCTCCCCATCCCTGGTCTGGGCCCTGGTCAGGTCGTTCAGCTGGATGTTTCTGTTTGCTCAGTGCTGCCGTCTCATACAATTCGCATGTACCGTGAATGCTCCGCTTATTTTACGGTATGTAAAGAAGGAAAATGTCATGGGAAAAGGTCATCATTCATTGTCCGTCTCACAAAGAACAACTTCATATTGAAATAATATATTTCATTTCAGTTTTGAAAGTCAGTAACATTTTAGTCGAAGGAAACTTCGATAAATGATTGAACAAGACAATTGATGCTTGTTAGCTCTGAAATATCTGTTGTTTAATGCCGGACCATGCAATATTCCAAAATATGATGGCGTTGTGTAAATAACCGAATCCGAATGCCTTTATGAACAACGATCCACGGAAATTGGATACAAAGACAGATCGTTAATCAAGTCACCAAGACTGACCTCCAGATCCACTAAATCCCCTTGTACGACCAGTTTAAGTTGGTGTGGACCAAAGGATCTGAAATAACATACACTCTTCAAAACAGGAAAGGCACGGGCGTTTTCAGCAGTTCATTTCGATATATTTGACAGCAATCGTCATTAAGACAATTCCTATGCCTGGTCTTCCAATAATTTCGGACCAAACCATCAGAAATCGTCTGAGAGAAGTGGGAATTCGAGCATATCGACCACAAATTGGAGCGGTCCTGACACGACTACACCGACAACGACGTGGCAAATGGTGCAGCAGGGTACGGGCATGGCTACGCGTTTGGTTCAGCGGTCAATCGCGTTTCCTCCTTCAACGATGAATCGCTTTTCCTGGGAGACAGCGTGTCTATCGACGCCAAACTGCGTGACAGAGGTGGACCGATTTGGTGGAGAAGCGTCATGGTGTGGGGACCCATGTCAGAGCTAGTGCTGGTTCAAATCGCTACATCAACCAAATCCTGCGACCTTACCTCCTCCCGCCAATGAGAGCTGTTTCAACACGACAACGCTCGACCTCATACAGCTCGTGTAACTGGTGCCTATCTTGCCAATCCAAACGTTAATCGCCTGATCTGAACCCGATCGAGCATCTATGGGACGAACTTAATCGACGCGTCGGTAAACGCCACTATCGTCCTCAGACACTTGCAGAATTTACCAACGCGTTGCAGGAGGAATGGCATAGAGTTCCCCAAGCAAAAATCCGACGATTTGTGCAATCCCTTCCAAGTTGGAGTCGAACAGTGACGGCTGCAAGGGGAGGTGCCACCAGGTATTGACCTGAACGCCCCCTTGTGTCCACACATGTACAGTGAGTGAACTGAATTAATGCTGACAATGACAACAATGCATATGTTCATCCGTGTGTCGAATTTCCTTCATCAATGTTCAAGCTTAATCGTCCTATGTACACTTAAATACGTTGAATGATTTCTATTTTTTTGGCCTGTGCGTTTCCTTTTTTTGAAGAGTTTACTTGCCACAAACACTAACATCAGTCAATGTTAGGAATATTACGAAAGACGGGAATGGGACTCTTGACATCTTAGTGCAGTCGAATCCTGCGACATCCGGGACTAGACAGCTCTCGTGTATCTAGTGCCTGTACGGTCTCACAGTTGGAGATTAGGTGGTTGTAATGTGTGACCTCCCTGATTGACCTCTCGTATTCCTTACCCAGAAACGGTTATTCATAACACCTCATCATGTCTGTAGCATTGCTTACTGCAGTGTAAAACAACATTAACTCACTCACTCACTCACTCCGTGCAGCCAACTCATCACCTACATTGACGCTGGATCCACGGGACAGGGGCGTGGTCTCGGTCTCATCGTGGCCTTCTTCCTAAACCAGATCGGGTTCAGCATCTTCATTGAGCACTCCTTTGATGGCTCCAGTCGCCTCGGACGCAGTGTCAGAACAGCCATGTACTCTGCTATCTTTAAGAAGGTATCAGAAATCATTCACTCAGGTCTACTCGGCTTATTCCGATATCAATACCTCTGCCATCATTGCAGTAGTGATATTCCATTATTCTATTCTTAACGGCATCTCTGTAGATTTTACAAATGACATTTCAAATATTTAATGTTAATTTAATATTTAAATGTTTGCCCTTTGAAACCAAGAGTCTGTCGATGTCCAACAAAGCTCGACAGAAGTATTCCCTGGGCGAACTCACCACTCTGATGTCAGTCAATGCTTGCCAGGTCGGCTCCTATGTTGATCAACTGAGCACGATCATCCTCAGCCCTCTCCTAGCGGTGGTCATATTCTCTATCGCCTGTTCAACCTGCTCGGTGTGGCGGCCGTGTTTGCCTGGCGGTGATGTTGGTGCTCATCCCGACCAACCTGCTGATGACGGACAGAGCGGAGATCATTGACAAGGAGAGGATGAAGAAGACGGAGCAGAGGATGAAGCTGCTCACAGAGGTCCTCAACGGTATCAAGGTAAGTTGATCTCTGATGTAACGACCTCAAAGTGAGTTGATCTCTGATGTAACGGCATGAAGTGAGTTGTCTTCTGTTGTAACGGCATGAAGGTGAGATGACCTCTGTTCTTACGGCATCAAAGGAATGCTAAGCATCAAGCTTCAGGCACTTATCCTGACCTTGAATACTTTCCAGGTAGAAAACCGATCAGAAATTCCCTTTGAGCATAATTATAAACTTTGGGTGCTGGTCCCACTTCTTCCGTCTAACGTCCACTTCAAGGCAATGCATGGGTACGGGTCCCTTCTGTCCGGGTATCCTCACGGGGCGATCCATGTCTGCTTTCTACGTGCAGGTTGTGAAGCTGAATGCATGGGAGCGGTGTTTCGGGCAGAGGGTGATGTCGGCTAGAGAGGACGAACTTGGCGTCCTGAGACGGTTCTACACAGCCTCGGCCCTCTTCAGCTTCTCCTGGACAGTCGTGCCGTATCTGGTAATACCGTACTTCCATATATGGCATTCGTCTCCGTTAAAGTTCTGAGTCTCAGGTCGGACCAACTGGACCAATTTTAGAGGCACGTGTAGCGCACTAGCTACTTTCTCCTTCCTGTATCCTGTTGATGTAGTCTCCAAGATTCACTCTGACTCCAATTCGTGGTTTGACAGCACCATAGCTGTACTCCAGAGTTTCCCATGTAAGATCTGCAAAGCTTTGAGGTGAATCCAACATCACGACTGAGGTGATGGTCAAAGCTGCTTCAATCTATACTCACTTCCACGTTTATATAGGTTCAGTAAGACTATTGGTTGCACAATTACTATCGTTCTCGCCCTCTGGCGCTCATTGCTACATATAGCTACATATAGTAAACAGTACAGTTATGCACTATTAAATATTCTTTGGAGACACAGCATCTCGAACATGATCTGCACCAGTTGGGTTGGTGACAAAAAGCAGTACCTTTATTATCTCTTACAGATTGAAAATATTATCGGTTTGAAACCTGTGTCAGATCTCCAAGTATTTTTCGCTACACTTTCGCTGTATCCAGATCAGCAAGAGTATGTTATGTATACACCTACGCAGTATCCAGATCAGCAAGAGTATGTTATGTATACACCTACGCTGTATCCAGATCAGCAAGAGTATGTTATGTATACACTTACGCTGTATCCAGATCAGCAAGAGTATGTTATGCATACACCTACGCTGTATCCAGATCAGCAAGAGTATGTTATGTATACACTTACGCTGTATCCAGATCAGTAAGAGTATGTTATGTATACACCTACGCTGTATCCAGATCAGCAAGAGTATGTTATGTATACACTTACGCTGTATCCAGATCAGCAAGAGTATGTTATGTATACTCCTACGCTGTATCCAGATCAGCAAAGAGTATGTTATGTATACACCTACGCTGTATCCAGATCAGCAAGAGTATGTTATGTATACACTTACGCTGTATCCAGATCAGCAAGAGTATGTTTTGTATACACCTACGCAGTATCCAGATCAGCAAGAGTATGTTATGTATACTCCTACGCAGTATCCAGATCAGCAAGAGTATGTTATGTATACACCTACGCTGTATCCAGATCAGCAAGAGTATGTTATGCATACACCTACGCGAGTATCTGCTGGTGACAGATGTCCGTGGTAACGTTTGCCGCCTATGTGTACCTGACCGGGGACATGCTGGACGCCCAAACCGCCTTTCTCGTCGTCTCCTACCTCAACATTCTCAAATACAGCTTGAACGAGACGTCGCTTGTGTTCCTGTTCTTCCTGAAGGTAACTGATTAGAAAATTGCATGCGTAAGCTGAAATAAAATAGTCCTCCTCCATTAACGGACTTATGCACTGGAAGTGATTATTGTACTGAATAATGTCACTGATTGTTGTGCTTTATCATTGTCTACCGTTTTTGTGTTAAATGATTAAACAAAGAATCTGTGAAGTGTAAATTGCTGACGTTTCGATTGTATGATGTTATCTTCCCCGTTTATAACTCCACGAACGCAAAAGAAATACAATATTGATAACATTAATTGGATAACCACAGCCACCTGCTACAATTCCAGTTACAGAAAAACGACGTATTATATTACAAAAATAAAAGAAGAGAACTATTGTTTAGATAACGTAATTGTGTCAATATGTCACGTGTTGTACAATATACCACTTAAAATTTCGTCATGTCGCTTCAACTGAACATCCAACACTGACACTCGGTAACATGAGCATGTATACATGTCAGAAAGTTATAACATTTGATCTGTTTACCGTATGATATCAGTAATATGACCGAGTAAAACCACAATCCCGTAATCTTCGGCCACACATAAAACCTTGTAGCTAGTGTGCTCATGCTGTCGGTCACTGGTTGACTCGTTGAAGGCCGCCTTTAGATAGGAGGGATATTATTGCTGACTGTGACATGTGTTGTTCCTTCAGATCAACCTCCATCTCAGTCGGATTCGAACCTTTCTCCTTTGAGGACGACCATAAAACAGATGGTGACAGCCCTGATAAACCATGCGGTAAGGCCTGTCTCTGTTGATAGTTTAACAAATATATTTTGCCCACGTCCATTTAAGAGACTGCTGTTTCCTGATTAAATGCAGTACCTTATTCTGTTTGCTGAGTGGTAAATGTAAAATCCAACATGCATACTCTGGAGCAGTTTACAGAGTGCAGTAAATTGAGCAACTCCAGAAACGCAGAAAAAATGCTATGAATTTAATTGAACTAACATATTTATCTGTTCTGATTAGTTGCAGATTCTGCTGTCGATATTCAAAACAGCACCTTTGTCTGGGATGATGAAAGACTATTTGTCCTCAAATGGTAATATCTTCAATATGAACGTCCTTCTACGTGGGGGTCCGGGGATGAAGAAGTTTCCAATTAACTTATGTTGGTAAAATGATGAAAAGTGCCGATATACGGCTGTGAACCTGGGTTTGTCAGCCCAAATCTGTGCCCTTCGATGACACTAAAGTTGTAACGTGTTACACGTCCTGGTGAAGTCTCCCATTGGGGCCATCATACGTGTTTAGGGTTAGTGAAGGGTGAGTGGCCAAACCAGGAATCAGTATGGGAACTAACGCTTTGCTACTCCTACCGCCCTCTTAAATTAGAAGCGGATCTTGTTTCCAATATGAATATTACAACTAAATGTATCACATAAAATACATAAAACGCCTTGATCCATAAATACTTGCAGTTTGTTTATGGAAAGCCATGTATGGGACAAATAAAGAATTGACACCGTCCACCTTTGAGACATGACTTGCTTTGGTTGTCCGTCCTGCACCACGTGGACACAGTGCCGGTAAACCCATCTAGCTATCGCTGTGGTTATGTTTGGGGGCATGGAGGGCGAGCGGGCGAAGCGATCCAGCGAGAATGAGGTGCCGGGATCGAGGCCCACCCGTGACCGGGTGTAAAACCCTTGGTGTCAACTTTAGTGCAGACTCTTTCAGTGTTGTCACAACCCCCTAATGTACAGTACACAACCCTGTGCACTTAAAAGAACCCACGAAACCGTTGGTATATGACCGCATGGTGGGCCACATGAATCACGTTGCAAAACACCTTCTAGTTGCGGGTATGGCAACGATGCAGTAAACTTGGACAAAATGCTGTGACTATGTGTCCCAGTCCACCCAGCTGTGAATGGGTACCTCGCAAGGATGGGAAAGCCGCAATAACTCGATGCGCCTTGTGGCAGCAAGTGTTGTAGGATCCCCAGGGAGTTGAGATTGATAATAACTGTCACGTTGAGAATGACATCCAATGATCGAGAGAAAAATACCAGCGCCTTGAGCATGCACTAGTGCGTGGATATGTGCGCCATATAAATATCCAATAATAATAATATAATGTTTCCTTACAGTCTGAACCTGAAGATACCGAGGGCAGTCTGACGGCTGTCGTTGGGGCAGTTGGTGCCGGCAAGTCATCCCTGCTGTCGGCGATACTCGGAGAGATGGAAAAACTCACGGGTCACGCATGCGTGAAGGTGATAAGAAAAATTGTGGCTTATAGAAACATTTAATAGTACTTGCCACATAGATCAGTCTTGTCAGATAATCAAGCTCCTGTGATCTGAACGTTTGTCGTCAATCGCTGTTGATGCTTTCATTCAGTAGTCAAAGATATCAGGTCTCGCTAAATAGCACCAGGAACCAAATCTGCATTCATAAACAGTATCACAAACAAAGCACTGGTGGTGTTTCGAGGAGTCTTCCGCCATCTTTTCTTCCAAAATAAAACAATCATAAATACTCATGGAAACTAATAAGGAACACGTGAACGTACAAGTGTTCCTATACTCTTTTCCAGGTTTCTTCGCATGCTTGCAATGTGAGTGATATTCTGAAATAAATAAAGGAACACTTTGTACTTTCTTGTGTTCCCTTATTCATTCCTTGAGCATATTTGTAATGAAACTTTGATAAAATCAGGTGTAGCGGTTTGGAGGAAATTGATTAAGGACGGGTCTTCAGATTAATAAAATATGTTCTGTTTCGTTTTGAAAAAATATGTTATGTTAGATGTCGAAGTAGGTTGTCATTGACATATTTGTTGACCGGTAGTGATACTAAACAAGGATGCGGGGATACGGTAACTATAGTTACGTACCTGTATGTCTTCTCCCAGGGCCGCACAGCGTACCTCCCTCAACAGGCCTGGATCCAGAACGTCACCCTGCAAGAGAACATCCTCTTCGGACAGCGGCTGGAGAAGCTGAGATATGAAGACATACTGGAAGCTTGTGCCTCTCAACCCCGACCTCGCCCAGTTTCCGGGGTGACCAGGTGGAGATAGGCGAGAAGGTGAACTTATAACATGCCATCACCTATATTAGGTTGGCTCAGCAAATAGATCCGTTCTATGACATATCTCAGCCATTTCAGTTGATCAAATTAATTCATGACATACCGTACGCCGCAGGATGTCAGAGTACGATCATGATGATGGGTTATTTAAGCTGCTCGGAACTACCGAACATCGTTAGGTCGAACCCAGAATCGCCGTGGATATGATATATATCGCCGTTGTTTTGTCAGCATATACCACTGCTCGTTGGAAAACAGCAAACTGGTCAGTGTCTGTACTTTGGGCTCTCCTCAAACAGGAAGCTGACACGCCCTCATGTGTCAGGGGTGCGTGTGCCAGACGAAGATCATATAACGCTGGGGACAAGACTTGGTGTAGAATAACAGAAATAATATCACACAGTTTTAATACGCTTTGTCAGATTTGGTTTTAACTCACGGGACGATTTAGCGAGTGGAAGTAGTCCTTTCTATCTGTGGATCTGTTTCTTGAAGATACGCAGTCTGAAGTAATAATCAGGACTGAGGGGATCTGAAGAGACTCCAAGTGATGGGGTAGGAGGGAGCAATGCATATAACAGGAGTAAACCACTGGTAGCGATTTCAAAGTGTTTTAAAGACTGACAACTTCACCTTAATAATAAATAATAATGTGTCCATTTATATAGCGCCAAACTCCACACCAGGTATGCTTATAGTGCTAACAATCAATAAGGCATTATTGAAGTCCATAGAACTTTTGTAAAGAAAGGTTTTGAGATGGCACTTAAAGTTTCAAGGGTTGGAGACAGCTTAAGTTCATCAGGGAGGGAATTCCATTTGACTGATGCCATGTTCTGGTAAGACTTGCAGCCAAATGTTTTTAGGTTCCACTTTGGTACATAGAGCAGATTAGCCGAGGATGAACGCAGTGTTCTTGTTGGCATGTAAGGAGAGAGGAGTTCTTGAAGATACACTGTGCAATACCATGAATGGACTGATAAGCAAGTGTAAGGATCTTATAGTCAATGAGAGGCTCAATAGGCAAACCAGTGAAGAGACAACAGGATGGGAGTGATGTGGCAGCGTTTTGGTTGGAGAGTAACTATGCGGGCAGCTGTGTTCTGGATTTGTTGGAGCTTTTGATGGACTCTTGCGAAGCTGCAACCAACAAGCTGTTGCAATAGTCAAGTCGTGAGAGAATCAGTGTTCTCACCAGGGCAGCCGCAGCATCCTGTGACAGGAGATGTCTGATCTGTCCAATGTTACGGAGATGAAAGTAACATTTTCTGCACAGATCCAGAATCTGTTTCTTCATGGAGAGGTCAGGTTGGAGTAGGACGCCAAGATTTCTGACATGTAGAGAAGGCTGAATGACCATGTTTCCAACTTTCAACTCAACATGTTGTGATTTTACTAACATGTTTCTTGTGCCAACAATCATACCCTCTGTCTTGTGTTCATTTTAATTTTAGTTTGTTATTGAACATCCACGAACCAATATGGTCAATGGCATCTTCAATTCTGGTCAAGTCAGAACTGTTGTCATAGCCCATGGTAATACTCATCAAACAACTGAGTATCGTCAGCATAAAGATGATGATTAGTAGCTTTCTCACAAAGCAGATCACCAAGTTCTTTGGTATACATAGAGAACAATACAGGACCGAGAACCGATCCCTGTGGTACACCACAAAGAATAATAGCTTCCGCCGACTGAGCATTACGAACAGCAACAGATTGAGTCCTGTTTGATAAGTAGGACCTAAACCACAGAAGAGCCATATGATTTAATCCATACTGGAACTGAAGTCTTGATAGAAGTATCTGGTGATCCACCGTATCAAACGCGGGCCGATAAATCCAAGAGAGACAAGAACGGCTGAGTTCCCCTGTCAACGCTCCATTGCAAATCATTAACAACACGGAGCAGGGCTGTTTACGTGCTGTGGAATGACCTATAGGCTGACTGGAATTTGTGATAGAGGTCATGTTTACTCAAGTGCTGACTAACTTGCATCTTCACAGCTCTTTCAAGTACCTTGGAGAGGAACGGAAGATTAGACACTGGCCTATAGTTGCTGAAACAGGTAGAGTCTAAACCAGGTTTTTTCAGCAAAGGTTTCACAATTGCCTGCTTGAAGCAACCTGGAACAGTGTCATTTCAAGCTTAAGTTGATAATCTGAGTGAACACAGGAAGTAAAATGTCAAAATATTCCAAGACAAATTTAGTAGGGGCTGGATCAAGTGTACACGTTGTGCCCTTTGATTGTTTGATGATGCAGAGAATCTGTTCCTCTGTGAGCGGGTCGAAGGAATCAAAACTCTCACCTTGAAAGAGTGCACCAGTTACAGCAATTGACTCAGGAGAAAAATTCTTGCCTAATCTTCTCAATCTTAGAAGAAAAAGAACTTGCCAAAGTCGTTTGCAAGAGTCAAATCATCATCCACATTAGGTAGAGTAGTGTTTGACGTCTTTCCAAGTAAGGAAAACAGATGAGTAAAGAGTACCTTGGGATTCTGCTGATTACATTGTAATATCTTGACTTTGTCTCACGAATCAGCTGGTTTAATTCATTACGGGCCATGTTATACATCTGCCGATGAATTTCAAGCCTGGTTTTCCTCCACTTACGCTCCGCCTTGCGCCTGTGGGTTTTGCGAAGTATCTG